CCTTAGGCACCCGAGGTTTGTCTGGCTCACTTAACAGGCCAGTCTTCTTGTCAATGAGCCTGCAAGACGCTGGGGAGTTCACTGGCTCTGGCTGGGCATCTCAGCTGACCGGGCTGATTCACTCATGTGTCTTGGAGTAGACTGGAGATGGATCAGTCTGGACTCGGTGAAGCTGGGTGGTTCTGCAGGTCTTAGCTGTGTTTCTCACGAGTCTTGCGCTCAGGTAGGAGGGCGACAGATAAAGGTTTAGGCAGCTCAGTGCTTGGCTCTGCCCATCGAATCTCTCGTCTTCGTCTCATAATCTGCGGTAAAGCCTGGTCTTTCCTTCGCGTGGGAAGGGCAGAGCACACGACAGCCACTGGAGAGCAGTTACCCAATTTGCATTTTAAAAAACTCACCCTGATTATGAGATGTCTACTTCTCATTTTTCTCTTGAACTCATGATCCTGGGGGAGACTGTAGGTCTTTTTGGAGTTGGGATGTGGAGTAGGAGTCTGTTTCTTCTCTTGGCATGGCTTGGTTCACAGGTCACTGTGAAGTTGGGACACATGAGTTGGCAGAGGTGAGTGCTTACTGCAGTGGGCAGCAATACAGAGATGGCTAAGCGGGCATTCCTAAAGCCCTGCACTCTGCCGACCAGGTGAGGAGAGACCCCACACACTGTCTGAGGGAAATAACGGCTCCGGAGTCCAGGACGCTGCTTCAGCAGGACCCCATGCTGAGTAACTGCAGGAGTCCTGGGAAGCCTCTCCATATTTGCAGGTCCTCATCACCCTCTCTGAAGAACAGGAAATGTGTGAATAAAATCCACATTCTGAATCTGATGGGGCTCACACTGGTGTGAAAAGTTCATCTTTGACAGGACTGTTTTTTCCCAATAGTGCTCGCTTTAAAAAATCTACTGAGTTTTTTGTAAGAATCAATCAGCGTGAACAACATGAATGTCAGGGTGCAAGCACCGGTGCTCTGAGTCATTCCTCTGCTGTCTTTCTGAAAGGTGATACGCTTCTAATTCCTGTTCTGAAGCAGCCGCCTGCAAGTTGGAGCTGGAGAGTTTCAGTCAACTTGACATTTTGTTCCTTATCTTCTCTCTCCACCGCTGTGAGATCCTGGCTGTCTGCCCCTTGGGGAATGTCACGATCCCTTGGACTGGTGGATGACTGGAGCAAACCTGAGGGGCTTCTGGAAGAAGCCATCTCTGCTTTCTGAAGCTACCACCATGGAGAAGTATCTCCCTTCCTTTTAAATATTAAATGTTTAACTTTTGCCATATAATATATAAATAGACTTTCTTAACAGACTGCCTTTTGGTTTGGAAGATTAAAGTGCTTATGAACTTCGTGAAAGTGGAAGTTTGTGAGTGCATTGGGGAAGGTAGGGAAGAGGGTAGGTGACAGCGGCTCTCAGGTGTTAGAAAGCTTAGCAAAGATACAAGTTTAAGGTGGTCAGGAGAACTTTCTTGGTGGGTCTCCCAGATCTAACCCAGGAACTTTTATCAGTTCAGTCCAGTCGCTCAGTTGTGTCCGCCTCTTTGCGACCCCATGGACTGCAGCATGCCAGGCCTCCCTGTCCATCACCAACTCACGGAGCTTACTTAAACTCATGTCCATTGAGTCGGTGATACCATCCAACCATCTCATGCTCTGTGGTCCCCTTCTCCTCCTGCCTTCAATCTTGCCTAGCATCAGAGTGTCTTCTAATGAGTCAGCTCTTTGCATCAGGTGGCCAAAGAATTGGAGTTTTTCAACTTCAGCATCAGTCCTTCCAATGAATATTCAGGACTGATTTCATTTAAGGTTGACTGGTTTGATCTCCTTGCTGTCCAAGGAGTCTTCTCAAGAGTCTTCTCAACACCACAGCACAATTCAAAAGCATCAGTTCTTCGGCATTCAGCTTTCTTTATAGTCCAACTCTCACATCCATACATGACTAATGGAAAAACCATAGCTTTGGCTAGATGGACCTTTGTTGTCAAAGTAATGTCTCTGCTTTTTATAGGGATATCAAATGGACTTTCTGTTTGGGAAGAGGTGGTTCTTTCAGCCTCCTTTACAGTGTCTGCTCGTTTTTTCCTTAGATGCTGAAGTTCCTTAAATGTCTTCTGGTTTTGCTCTGCACGTTCACACTGCATTCACTTCCATAAACTCAGCTGTGGTCTGTGTGCTGATGCATTTCCGTGCTCATCTCTCTCCTCATCTCAGACCCCTATAGCTAATTGTCCATTAGCTTGATTCACTTAGATGACTCATAGTTGCAGTGAGCTTGTTAAAAGCAGTGTTTCCCATCTATTCACTTAAACCTGTTTCTTTGCCTTAGTTCTCTATCTGAGTGAATGGTTCCATCATCCACTTTGTGGCCTAAGACAAAGCACAAGGGTGGATGGAGTGGTCACCTTTGAGTTCCACCCTCTCTCAGTCCGTATCAAGTTTATCCTGCCTGTTAATTTTATTTCTTTAATAGATCTTGAGACTTCACTCCCATTTCCATTTTCCTAATCCTGTCTTCCTCTCTCTTATGGATCCAAGCAAGACTTCTTATTAATCCTCTCTGTTGAATGGTCTTATTTTCAGCCAGCATAATTTTACTAAAACCCTTGTCTGGTCATTATTGCTTTTGTGATTGGAACTGCTAGTGACTTTTCATTGCCCTTAGGATAAGTTCTGCATTCCTTAAATTGTCATGTAAGATCTTTTTTATCTAGCCCCTGAAATCCTTTCCTTTGTTCTCTTATCTTTTGTCACTGCTGCCTTTCTCTCAGTGCCCATATCTACTGAATATTTTGCAGTTCCTTCCATGTGCCTTGCTTTCTCTTTCCTTTAGCCATTTGCTCACACTGTTCCCTCTACTTGGACCTTTCCCCATTCTCTCCACTCTTTATCTGACTGTCTTCTCTGTCATTCACACTTTTCCAGGCATCACTGGAATGAGCTTTCTCTCCTGCACACCACCTGCACACTTTTCCTCCCTCTGCTGACAAATCTGGATGAGGTGCTTCTCCTAGATGTGCTCACAGCCACCTGTTAATGTGCTTAACACAATGAATTGTTTTTTTTTTTCTAAAGACATTTTATTTACAGGTATAATAATTCATGCACTGATAGAAAAGAAACAGCAATATGACTGCCTCATGGTAGCCTAGACTATATATACTAATAAATAAACCATTTAACATTTTTATGACATACACTATTATAGTCATATTCATGTGTGTTAGTCATTCAGTTGTGTGCGACTCTTCGTGATCTCATGGACTGTAGCCCGCAAGGTTCTGCTGTCCATGGAATTTTCCAGGCAAGAATACTTGAGTGGGTTGCCATTCCCTTCTCAAGGGTATCTTTCCTACTCAGGGGTTGAACCCAGGTCTCCTTCATTGCAGGCAGATTCTTTACCATCTGAGTCTCACGGAAGCTGTAATTCATTATAATTTTATTTTTTTATACTTTTAATTTTGTATTGGGGGGTAGCCAATTGACAGTGTTGTGACAGTTTCAGGTAAACAGCAAAGGGATTCAGCCATTCACACACATGCATCCATTCTCCCCCAAATTCCCCTCTCATCCAGGCTGCCACACAACATTGAGCAGAGTTCCCTGTGCTATAGAGAAGGTCCTTGTTGGTTATCCGTTCATACCACAACATAATTGCCTGGTTTCTTGTCCCTATTCCTCACTAGACAATTTCTCCTCCTTCCCCTGCCTCTTTCTTCCTCCTCTCCCTCCTCCTCCTCCTTTAAAAACTATTGTATCCTGGAACATAGAGAATCCTCAATAAATATTTGCTAAGGGTATGGATGGGTGGAGGTATGAATGAATGGGTGAATGCATGGTTACTTTTCCAGGGCATTTGGCATCTGGTACCTGTGTGACTTGTGCCAGAGGTTCGTATGTTCTCCATATCTGTAATTAAATTCCTCTTGTAACCTTACAAACTTTCCATGTTAACACTGAGCTTTGCAGTGTTTGTAAGTAAGCTTACTGTTCTTTCTGTTAGTATTTTTTCTATTTGCAATTTATTGAATAATCTGTTACTTTTCTTAAAAATCTGACTTTTACTTATTTTAAATAGATAAATAAACTTTATTTATGAAACTAACAGAGATACAAATTAGAAGTAAAATTGACTAGGTAGTGATATACAGTCTATCCATTTAAAACATTATGAACATGTGAAAAACCTGACATTTCCTCTAATAAAAATGTTTTAAAAGAATCACAGGATTAAAAAGGTCATATAATATTATCATTTGTTCTCATTTCACTATTACAACATATATTTGAACAAAGTCATATATATGTTACTACGTGTGTATATATATTTATCTTAATTAGACAATTTAATAATTAATATAAAGGTATACTTGTTTCTTGATTTTAGGAATTTTTGTTGTGGATCCTTATGTAATAGGTCGCAGCTTTTTGCTTCTCTCAGGCATATGGACTAAGGCCTAGTGTACTATAGACTTTAGAGGACAAAACAGTTCCTAAGGGTTTTAAAACTTTCATAATGATAGAAAATAATTTCCTTTGTCCTTGTACTGCTTTTAAGCTCTTAATTTCTGTTCACATATAAGCACTATTGCATTATTTTGATTATAATGTTCAACTTTATGATAACATTATAATATATAATATTAATATGTACAATTATCAGTTTAGATAATTTTCTTAGGTTCAAGAAGAGGAGAGCAAGTAGGAAAGCCTTATGAAGAGTATGATCCATTGGGTAGCACTTGAAAGAGTTTTTAAAAATTCTGGATTTTTGCTTTTATCTTGAGCTTGTGCATTCACCTCCTCCTCTTCCCCCAAATCCACTGAAATGGGAAAAAAAGTTAAAAAGAGAAGAAAAGAAAACAGGAAGCTTTGTAGTACTGCTGGAAAAGAGGAAAATATGCCTTTGACATATGAGAAATATGAAACTTGGGAATATGTGAGACACAAAGGACCAAAGGAAGGAAGATAGGAAGAAAAAACCCGTCAGACTTGAATGGCANAAGAGGAAAATATGCCTTTGACATATGAGAAATATGAAACTTGGGAATATGTGAGACACAAAGGACCAAAGGAAGGAAGATAGGAAGAAAAAACCCGTCAGACTTGAATGGCACTAAGGTTGGTATCTCTTGAGAAGTAAGTGGATGGCGTCCTCAGTATAACCTGAGAAGGTTTCCTTTTTCAAGCAATAGAGGTGTGCTATAAGGGTCATGTGTGAGGGCAAAATTACACTGCTTTAGAGGCTGTACCAGAAGCCCACATATTAATAATATGTTTCCTGAGTTTTACCTTATATGGAGAGTGTACTAAACGAAGAACTTGTAGGCCAAGGATAAAATAAAGGTAAAATTCAGAGGCTCTTTAGAAATCATTAAATGGAGTAATCATGTATAAAAATATGTGGGATGTGGTCAGAGTCATACACAGAAAGGAACTTGTCTTAATTTCCTCTTTTTTAAATTGAAGTATAGTCGATTTGCAACATTAATTTCAGGTGTACAACCTAGTGATTCCATATTTTTATAGATTATACTCATGTGAAGTTGTTATGACATGTTGGCTGTATGCCCTGTGCTGTGCCTTCCTTTCTACCCAGTAGTCCGTCCCTCTTAACCCCCCTCACGGGTCCTGCCCCTTCCCATTCCCTCTCCTCCCTGGTAACCAGTTTGTTCTCTGTATCTGCGAGTCTGTTTCTGTCTTGTCATGGTCATTCATTTGTTCTATTTTTTACATTCCAGATGTAATAAAGACTGAAAATAACTGGCCCATCCGCGTTGTCCCTTATGGCTGTGTGGAGAGCAGCGTTGAGAGGGCGTCTGAAGCTGAGTGCGCTGCAGCGGGAGCACTGCTGTTAGTGAGTCGTGACCAGGCTTCAGTGGATTTTCAGGTGAACTGAATAAAACCACCAAGGGTCTGGCAGTTCCTATATTGCTCCAAAGCACAGGGTGGCAGGAAGTGCCCCCAAGAATTTTTTTGAGGCAAGCATAATTCTGATCCCCAAATCTGCTGAAGAAAGCACTCAAAACTAAAGAAAGACTCAATTGTAAAGATATAGATACTTTAAATGAAATATTTTAAATAGTTTCCATTGCAAACAGTTTCAAGTAAGTGAAAACACTGTGCATAGTGGAATATAGAATTCATAGCACTTACAAATGATAAAAGATACATGTGGGCAGTGTTGCCCTGTTCCCACAGGGCACGTGAGGAAGCACTAGCATCCACCCTGAGAGCCTGAGAACTAGGCTTGAACTCCAGCAGGACGTCCAGCACCTGGTTTTGAACATCAGACGTATATTAGATGTCGGTTGAGTTGGGCATCTGTGTGTCTGTTTTATATCCCGTTCTGTTCATGAGATAACTATAGTTAATCACCTTTGTTGCTACCCAGTACAGACTTCTCCATCAAGCAAGTGCTGATAAATTCCTTGTTAACTGAATCTAATCAAAGGAGCTGTGGTGTTGTGGGAAGAAGTTCACGGCTCTTGGAGACAAGGGTTTGGTTTCATTAAAGCCAGGCTGCTAGTGGTTAACTGCTCTTGCCACGTTACTTCCCTCATGACTCAGCGGGGACACCCCATCTGGGGAGCCTCCCCCACCGCCTGCATCCTGAGTGAGCTCCCTTGTGTGCTCCCACAGCCCCGTGCTTCCCTCTTCTGGGGCCATCAACTTCTCCCTCTTTTCTCTGTAAGACGGTGTTTGAAGCCAGAGGCTCTGTCCTCTGCGTCCCTGTTCTGTGGAGACCAGCCCCAGTCTAGCACACAGTTAGGGCTGGCCACTCTTGTTACATGAATGAAGGATTTAGCTTCTCTGAGCTTAAGTCTTCTACATTTGAAAAATGAGAACATTAATGATAATGATAATGGAGTTTTTAACATTCTTCCTTGGAAAAAAGTCTGGCCCTTTAATAAAAATGACAGTAGATTTTGTTTATTGAACACCTATTATATGTGCCAACCACTGACCACACACTTTCCATACATTTTCATCATCTCTTATCGTTACACCTCTGTGAGGTAGGTGCTGTTATCTTCTTGACCTTATAGATCCTTGGAGAGGTGAAGCAAGCAAGTGTGGCAGAACCAGGATTTGAATTCCAAGTCTGTAACCATTTCACTGTAGAACTGATGTTTCTGTGGGAAGCTCAGTTTGGGTAGTCATCAGTTAGGTTTCCTCATGGAAACCCTGGCTGTGTAATTATGGTCTGTAAAAGGCTGATCGTGATGGTTGAGCTAGTGACATCCAGCCTTGAATACATTGCTGGGCACATGGTAATGACATGCTCAATGTAATTGTTGAATGAAATAATGATTTTATTAATAGAAAACCCATGAATGATATTAGTAGTTTATGTAATAAACCAAGAGATTGTTTATACATGTGTGATTCAAGAGTGTTTAAACACCCATAGCATTAGTTCAGATGATGTGCAAATATTCCTAGGAGGGTAAAACTGGAATTTGATTTTCATTTAGCAAGAGAAATAAAAGGATTGACTAATCATTAAATCTCATTAAAAATGAAAATCCCTAGATTCCACTCCTAGAGTTTGTTGTTTTTATACTCTCCTCTTGTGGAAGTGAAATAAAATACTTTGTAAATTGGGGCGTGCTGTACACACTATATTACCGAGAAACTCTGTTATTTTTCCCTTGAAATGTGAGAAAGTGTCCTTTGTAGTCTGTTGAAACTGAAAGAAGAGAACAGTTAAGAGTCTGAGTTAAATCAGAAAAGAAAAGGGCTCTTTCATTCAGTGGGAGGAATGCTTCTTTTGTCAGTACCTCCCCAGAAGCAAGCCTTGTTGACCAAAATTTAACAAAGAGATCCCATTGGCATGTTTGATTATTTCACGGTTGAGGCATCCTCATTGCCCTGGGTGATAGCAGTCTATTGTCAGGATGGACACACAGTCTGAATGGAGAGCCAGGAAACTCTGAGCAAGTGCTCAGAATTAGGGGCAGCTCTGGGAGCCGAGGGCGATTCCACCTGTGGGTCATGCCTGTGACTCAGCACCTTCTCTCTGCTTCCTATTCCATCGCTAGTTAGTTCTTTTGTCTCTTCTTTTCTCTGCCTAATGGCTTCTGCTTACTGCCTTCTGTCTTTAAAAATACCAGGAAGCAGCATTTATTGAGGAATTTCAATAAATAATTTCATTTTTGTTCTCAGAACAAAATAGGAATAAGGTGTTCTCCTTATCTGATTATTCATTATTATTAGTCTCCACACTGAGTGCACAAGGATGCAAAAGCCATAAAAACAGGAAAACATCCTCTAATGAAAACCAGTTTTACACTGAGAACCCTCTCGCCATTTAGCAGAAGTTCTGGTACTTAACAATTAATAACATGATGAAAATATAATGAAAAACCTAATAGCAAAATTTGCAAAAAGATGCAGAATGTCATGAAGTTAGTGCTCAGATGTGTCCAGTTTTTTTTTATGACCCCATAGACTGTAGCCCACCAGGCTCCTCTGTCCATGAGATTCTCCTGGCAAGAATGCTGGAGTGCATTGCCATTTCCTCCTCCAGGGGATCTTCCTGACCCAGGGATTGAACCCATGTCTCTTGCATCTCCTGCAATGGCAGGCAGGTTCTTTACCACTAGTGCCACCTGGGAAGCCCAGAATGTCATGAAGTTGATGTCAATAGGAAAGTCACTGCTAAACGAGGATCTAAGAGTGTGGCCAATTAATAATTAGACAAGTGGAAATCCAACAAGATCTGTGTTAATTCTGCTACTTGAGAAAGCAGTTTGCTGTTCTGAAATACATTTTAGAAATCTTTGATATGTGCACTATTATATATTTGAGTATTGTCATTTACAAAGCCCAGGTTTTTATCCTTTTTGGGTCTGTCAGGCTTTCATGGAATAAGAATTAGGCTTCTGAAACATAATGCCAGTGACTGTTGACAGATATATGCTGATGGGGTTAGGGAAACATGAATACTTGGAGTCATTAAAAACTAATTCATTTAAGATAAATGATGGAGCTGGGACAAGTTATTTGTTGGCCCTAATAGTGTCTTTCACTGTGACTGTAAAGTTCTGCTAATACCACTTTACTTTTATATAGGATATTGCAATTTGAGATCACCTGTGTATTATTTCATGGTTATAAAGCTATAGGAAGTATTAATGGAAAGGGGGAATAGCACTACTCTATGTTAAAAATGAAGATACTGAGGTTAGTCTGATGTCAAGTAGTTCGTAAATGACATTCCAATACTAGAATGATTTTCCTGAATCCTGATTCAGTGCTTTTCCTACTCCCCCAAGTAAAAAGAGAGAATAAGGAAGGAACAATATCATCTCTATTTTATAAAGGAAGAAATTACAGGAAAACCAAACATTGTAGATGCACACTGAGAAAATCAGTTGGCAAACTGAATAATCGTATGTCCATAATCTCCTGGAGAAGGGAATGGCAACCCACTCTAGTATTCTTGCCTGGAGAATCCCGTGAACAGAGGAATCTGGTGGGCTACAGTACATGGGGTCGCGAAGAGTCGGACACAACTGAAGTGACTTAGCATGCACACATGCTCATGTACGTAATCTGGCATTTACTAAAAGAATTAACAAAATTGGAATTACACAGACTAATTACCCTTTTTACCCAGGGAAGCTTTTAAAATCTTACCTTGATTTCTTTCATCTTTTTCAGCAATTTTTTTAGAAAAACTTTTTATTCTATATTGGAGTATGGCTGGTTAGTAATGTTTGGTAGTTCAAGTGGACAGCTAAGGGACTCAGCCGTCCATATACATGTAACCACTCTTCCCCATCCAGGCTGCCACATAACATTGAGCAGAGTTCCCTGTGCTGTATATTAGTTTTTCATTTTAAATATAGCTGTGTGAACATGTTGATCCCAAACACCCTAACTATCCCTTCCTTCCATCTTTTCCCCCTGGCAACCACAAGTTCCTTCTCTAAGTCTGTGAATCTGTTCCGTTTTCTAAATAAGTTCATTGGTGTTGTTTCTTTTTTGATTTTACATGTAAGAGATGTTACACAAAATTTCTCCTTCTCTGTCTTACTTCACTCAGTATGACAATTGCTAGGTCCATCCATGTTCCTGCAAATGGCAGGATCATTTCATTCTTTTTAATGACTAATTTTCCATTATATATGTGTATCACATCTTCTCGATCCATTTCTCTGCTGTTGGATATTTAGATTACTTCCATGTGCTGGGTATTGTAAACAGTGCTGAGGTGAACATTGGGGTCCATATATCTTTTCAAATTATGGTTTTTCTCCAGATATACACCCAGGAGTGAAATTATAGGATCGTATAGTAACTGTTTTTAGTTTTTTTGAGGAACCTCCATACTGTTCTCCATAGTGGCTACACTAGTTTACATCCCCATCAACAGTGTAGGAAGTCCTTTTTTGCCACACCTTTTTCAGCGTTTATAGTTTGTAGACATTTTGATGATGGCTATTCTGACTTGTGTGAGGTAATACTTCATTATTATCTTGATTTCCATTTCTCTAATAATTAGTGATGTTGAACATTTTTTCTTGTGCCTGTTGGTCATCTGTCTTCTTTGGAGAAATGTCTGTTTAGAGCTTCTGCCCGTTTTTTGTTTGGGTTGTTTGTTTTTGATATTGAACCATATGAGCTATTTGTGTGTTTTGGAAATGAATTCCTTGTCAGTTGCTTTGCAAATACTTTCTTCCATTCTGTAGTTTGTCTTTTGCTTTATTTATGTTTCCTTTGCTATGCAAACGTCTTTTAGTTTAATTAGGCCTTATTTAAAGCTTCCCAGGTGTTGCAATGAAGAATCTGCCTGCTAATGTAGGAGATTTAAGAGACGCAGCTTCCATCCCTGGGTCAGGAAGATCCTGTGGAGAAGGGAATAGCAACCCACTCCAGTAT